TTTAAATGGTTTTATTTTAATAAAAGTTGGTGAATGTATTTATTTTACTGTAAATAACAAGTGAAAAAATTTTCAGCCTTATCAGTTGGACATTCCGGTTTTTATACTGCTTTTTTTTAATTCACTAACGCTCTAAAAATGAATATTTCAGCCGCAGTAAAGAATCAACGTTGGCGGATTTTGGTTCTTGACATCCTTTACGATCGGTTACGATGCCTAGAGTACGGAGACCTGTACGATTTCGTCAACTTAGTGAGTTTGATAGGGGCCGTATAGTGGGACTTCGGGAAGCTGGACTTTCTTTACGGGCAATTGCAGTTAGAGTGCAAAGAAGTGTAGACACTGTGGTTAGGTGTTGTCAGGCATGGCTTCGAGAAGGCCGTACGCAAAGAGCAAGGGGCACTGTACGCCGCCGTAGAACAACAGACTGTGAAGATCATCGCCTAAGATTATTGGCCTTAAGGGACCGTTTCTCCACTACCAGGTCCATTGCAAATGAATGGTTTACAGAACACGGAAGACCTATTGGCATGCGAAGTGTTTACCGACGAATGAGAAGTTTTTGCTTGTTTTCATACCGGCCACACTGGGTCCTCCCTTTAACTCGAGAACACCGACGTAATCGCCTTGAGTGGTGCAGGCAACGGTCACTCTAGGATCAGGAATGGAACAGTATTGTCTTTAGTGACGAGTCTCGATTTTGTTTAGGCATGCACGATGGTCGTGCCAGGGTTAGAAGGCGACGTGGTGAAAGGAGGAATCCACAGTTTTTTGTTGAAAGACATGTTCATCACACTGTTGGAGTTATGGTTTGGGGTGCTATAGCTTATGGTTCCAGGTCACCTTTAATCTTTATCAGAGGTAACATGAACGCGCAGCGTTATATCCACGAAGTTCTAGAACCTCATCTTTTACCCTATCTTGACACCCTGGCAGATCCAACTTTCCAACAAGATAATGCCCGACCACATGTTGCAAGAGTCACAATAGACATCTTTCAACATAATGATGTCACATTGTTACCATGGCCACCAAGATCTCCCGACTTATCCCCAATTGAGCACGTGTGGGGTATGATGGGTAGGAGATTGCTCAATTTGCAACGTCCTCCTCAGACTCTAGAAGCACTTCGAGAGGAGTTGGTGGTTGCCTGGAATGAGATACCACAGGAGGACATTGACCACCTGATCAGAAGCATGCCTAGGTCCCTATCAAGCTCACTAAGTTGACGAAATCGTACAGGTCTCTGTACTCTAGGCATCGTAACCGATCGTAAAGGATGTCAAGAACCAAAATCCGCCAACGTTGATACTTTACTGCGGCTGAAATATTCATTTTTAGAGCGTTAGTGAATAAAAAAGCAGTATAAAAACCGGAATGTCCAACTGATAATGCTGAAAATTTTTTCACTTGTTATTTATGTCAGATAAATTAATACATTCACCAACTTTTATTAAAATAAAACCATTTAAACTGGGTGTTCGGATGTATATGTCACTTAGTATATTATTTGTTTTATACTTTGCCTAGGTATTCTGCACAATACCGGATGCGCAGACGGTAATGTATGTAAAAGACGAGAACAAGGAAGATTTTGTGCACTTCAAAATGTCCCAATAGATCCTCATGTGAAAATAACTTTGACTAAGCAGTAGACCTACACTGCCTATATTTTTACAGAATTGTTTTGTTTCTTGAGTATTTATACGTGTTACGTACTTACGTACTTGTAAGCAAAGAAAATTATTATGTTACTTAAAGCCAGAATAATTTTTAGTTCCACGTTAATTTTACTGTGATTTTTACTGTAGTAACAGAAAGGTCCTTTCTTGTACCCTTTTCATAAAGCTTATTTTTGAGGAGCACTTTAAGTGTTAATTTTAATTAAGTTGATTTTAAATAGTATGGCTTGTTTCTTGCTCGTCATTTTCAAGGTATGCCGGTTAACATTGTTAAATTTAGACCAAGATCTATCAGGTAACCAAATAAGTTCGTGCGGTTTTTAGTAGAAAAATATAAATTTTTATTGAGAAAGAATAAGACAGTATTTATTCGTCGAAGTAATTAGCATCACATTAAATGACTTTTTGCCAACGTGGAACCAATTTTTGTATGCCGTTATTGTAGTCGGTCCCTCATACAGTTGTCAAAAGACAAAAAAGGCCAGCCGAGTTCAGAAATTTTTTCTCGGGTCCCCTTTGCGCTATGAGGCTTGGCGTTATCCTGCAAGAATATCGCTTTCTTCCGATTGATCAAAGAAGGCTGTTTTTGGATGAGTACTGCTTGTGCTCGTTGAAGCTGCTTACAATACAAGTTTGCAGTGATGGTTTGACCCCTTTCCAAAAACTCATAATGGACAATTCCAGTTGATGGTCACCAAACACACAACAATACCTTGTTTGGGTGCAAGGAAGCCTTGAGCGCCTGTGGTACCCAATCAGTAAACGACAACCAATACGAACTCTTATAGTTCGAATACAAGATCCATTTTTCGTCACAGGTTAATAACTGATTAAGAAATGGTTCATTAGCGTTGCGTGAAATGTTTGCTGAACAAATGGTAAGACGACTTAATTTGTTGTCATTTGTCAGTTGATGTGGGACCCGCTTGCTTAACTTCCATGTGTTACCTAGTGTGAGTAAAAGAAGGATTCATACTAAAGTGACAACAGGTAACAAAAAATCGCTATCGATGAAAAACATCCATGGCAATGTGCGATATAAAGCAACCGCACGAATGTATTTGGTTACCTGTATTGATTGTATATACTAAGTGACATAAAAATCCGATCACCCAGTTTAAATGGTTTTATTTTAATAAAAGTTGGTGAATGTATTTATCTTACTGTAAATAACAAGTGAACAAATTTTCAGCCTTATCAGTTGGACATTCCGGTTTTTATACTGCTTTTTTTTAATTCACTAACGCTCTAAAAATGAATATTTCAGCCGCAGTAAAGAATCAACGTTGGCGGATTTTGGTTCTTGACATACTTTACGATCGGTTACGATGCCTAGAGTACGAAGACCTGTACGATTTCGTCAACTTAGTGAGTTTGATAGGGGCCGTCTAGTGGGACTTCGGAAGCTGGACTTTCTTTTCGGGCAATTGCAGTTAGAGTGCAAAGAAGAGTAGACACTGTGGTTAGGTGTTTTCAGGCATGGCTTCGAGAAGGCCGTACGCAAAGAGCAAGGGGCACTGGACGCCGCCGTAGAACAACAGACCGTGAAGATCGCCGCCTAAGATTATTGGGCTTAAGGGACCGTTTCTCCACTACCAGGTCCATTGCAAATGAATGGTTTGCAGAACACGGAAGACCTATTGGCATGCGAAGTGTTTACCGACGAATGAGAAGTTTTGGCTTGTTTTAATACCGGCCACACTGGGTCCTCCCTTTAACTCGAGAACACCGACGTAATCGCCTTGAGTGGTGCAGACAACGGTCACTCTGAGATCAGGAATGGAACAGTATTGTCTTTAGTGACGAGTCTCGATTTTGTTTAGGCATGCACGATAGTCGTGCCAGGGTTAGAAGGCGACGTGGTGAAAGGAGAAATCCACAGTTTTTTGTTGAAGGACATGTGTTCATCACACTGTTGGAGTTATGGTTTGGGGTGCTATAGCATATGGTTCCAGGTCACCTTTAATCTTCATCAGAGGTAACATGAACGCGCAGCGTTATATCCACGAAGTCCTAGAACCCCATCTTTTACCCTATCTTGATACCCTGTCAGATCCAACTTTCCAACAAGATAATACCCGACCACATGTTGCAAGAGTCATAATAGACTTCTTTCAACATAATGATGTCACATTGTTACCATGGCCACCAAGATCTCCCGACTTATCCCCAATTGAGCACGTGTAGGATATGATGGGTAGAAGATTGCTCAATTTGCAACGTCCTGCTCAGACTCTAGAAGCACTTCGAGAGGAGTTGGTGGGTGCCTGGAATGAGATACCACAGGAGGACATTGACCACCTGATCAGAAGCATGCCTAGGCGCGTTGGAGAATGCGTAGCACATCAGGGTGCATCCACACATTATTAAAGGTCAAAGGGCTTTAAAGCAGTGCAATCATTTTGAAATTTTTATCATTTACTTATTATGCTTCATTAAGTACTTATACAAAATTTTATTAAAATAAAACCATTTAAACTGGGTGTTCGGATTTATATGTCACTTAGTATACATTGCCGATGGAACAGCATGTACTCTAGACAATCCCTAGGAATTGTATTCATTACCTAGGTTAAGTTTGTAATGGATAATAATATTCATAATATTTCATACATAGCCTGGGCAACCCAGGTATTCTATATACTGCCTAGGTATTGTATAGAATACCTGAATTATACATATTACCGGTAACATTTTTCATTATTTATAAACTGCTTCAACGGTCAAACCGATAATGCAGTGGTGCAGAATTTGTATCTATCCTGAACTTTCAGTTCAACCTAAAATCGGAGAAGCATTAGGTTCGATCTGGAATTGATCCTAAACAGATTCGACAGAAATGTGTATTTGAGCGTAGAAAACAAGGCGTTGCAGCAAGTTCTTTCTACACAGGTGGTGCCCACTTCTCATGGAAATCTTCGTCAACACTGTATGCAAGTAGTTGAACTATGATTTGCTACTGTATACATTATATACATTTTATACAATGTATACGTGAAAATCGAGACGTATATATTCACTATTGTATACGCGTATACAATGGTGTATTATACATGGTGTATACAATGCGCCCATCACTAGTCATCCATACTTAGAGAGGTTAAATGGATGAAAGAACGCCTCAAATTTCCAAAGATGATCGTGAAGTGTCAATGAAGTTCACACCCATTGTCAGCTATATTTTCTTATAAGAGAGATACTTTATGCTTCAAGACACGATTTTACGGATACGATATCTCACTTTCTATTGAAATGAAGGTTCGATGGCCGACATCATGTATTGTCACATACGATGATGATTAAGTGACAGGTACTTACCCATCAGAATGAAGAAATCTCTCCTATATTGCTGCGTCAGTAGCGCGTACAAGCAGGGATTGGCACATGAGTTAAGCGGATAGAAGAAGACCAGGAGGATTTTGGTTTGTGTGACTGTAATAAGTGGATATCCTAGGAGTGCTGTTAGACCAAAAAAGGCTATTGGCGCCCAACAGGCGAAATCTGTGAAGACCAAAAGGGCCATGCGCTTGGCCACTGTCAGATCGCTGCGGACGGAGGTAGTTGAGCCAGTACGTCGACCTAAAAATAAAAGTATTACTTAGAACAAAGCTTTACCACATCAATCTTGTATATTGTTTTCTCAATTCATCGTTAATTCACTTCGTTAGATTTTCAATTACCCTGTTTCGTTTTGAAATTGGGGTTGACAGTTGCGCGTGCCTATGGTGTGATCATCTTATTATATTTGAAACAGGCAGTATACCCCATCCGTTGTCCGTTTACACACAAACAAGACAAAACATGCCCAAAAGCGAGAATGTACATGTACAGGTCCGTATTTTTCTCAACAGTCTTGGAATAATCTAACAAAATAAATGATTATTTTCATAGAATGAAGTACATATACTTTTCACGATTCTTTATTCGCTAGAAGTACTTGAATCATCGTCCGAATGGTTAATATTAATTATTACAGGTGCAATTTGAATATCGATCATACTGTCCAGATCCCATATCTTTGTTTCGATTGCCTCTTGAACGTGACGGATGCAATCTTCCCAATGGTTTGCCGTCACTCTGTTGACAGCTTCATAAAACAAAATTTTCAGGTCAGAGAATTTGAACGTTCTTTTGTTTGAAGCCACATATTTTTTATATTTGTCCGGTCTTATTTTGGTTTTCAGCCACTCCGTCAATAACATTAATATTATATTTATATTTGTGCTGCCTGACTAGATGCTTTAACCATATTTTCATTGAAGCTTATGTCTTGACATGTACAATCTTTGAACCCCACATTTCAGACCACACTGCACAACTTCTTTCGCTCTCTCATGCATCCCACGACCACCTCGAACATCAAGACAACCACTTGCTCATGACAAGGCCTATAAATGACGATAATTTAAATCACCTCAAAGTTAGCTTAGCTCAGGAAAACTGGAATATTGGCGAAGACGATACTGATGCAGAATTTGAACGGTTTCTCAACAATTTTTTGTGGCATTTTGATTTGAAATGTCCCCAGAGGCATAAAACACGACACAAAAAGCAGAAATCTAAACCGTGGGTGACGCCAAAAATCCAACAGTCCAGCTTAGATCTAAGAAAACTACATAATTTGGTGAAAAGGCATGAAGACAATGTAAGTATGAGACACCAGTACATTGACAACAAGAAAGAACACAAGAAATTAGTTTCTTCAACAAAAAAAGAGTATTACAGTAGTCTAATAAAATCCAGCAACAACAAAGCTAAAAAAGTATGGGAAATAGTCAATGAAGAAACCGGAAGAGTAAAGAAACATCATCAAATAGTGCTGAAAAGTGAAGACAAAGAATTTACTGACACCCTCGTACCCGACAAGTTTAGCAAGTATTTTTCCACAATAGCAGAGAGCAAGTTAGCAGAACACTTTAAATGTGACAACCCATCAATATGTCCATCACAAAATCGGGTAGCATCATCAATGTTCTACGAGGATGTCACCACTGAAGAGATGGTGGAAGTAATCAGCAGCCTTCCAAATAGAAGAAGCAGTGGAAATGATGGAATTTCAACGCGTGTGATAAAGTTTGTGAAACGTGAAATATCTTCCCCCCTATCAGTCCTTATTAATAAATCAGTGAAGCAAGGTAAATTCCCGAAGTGCTTGAAACTAGCTATTGTTATTCCCGTATACAAAAAGGGTGACCGTACAGACCTTGAAAACTACAGACCAATATCACTTTTATCGATGATCTCTAAAGTCATTGAAAAATGTCTGTATAAACGTATATTATGTTTTCTCAATCGCTATAATGTCTTATCAGATACCCAGCGTGGGTTTATACCCTCACGATCTATAGAAACGGCGACCTTTGACTTTTTTTCCCATATATATAGAGAAGTAGACGAAAACAGATACGTTGCTGGACTATTTTTTGACCTTTCGAAAGCATTCGATATAATGGATATTTCGTTTATCGTGGAAAACTTGTACTGCTTAGGTATAAGGGATTTTATTCTCAGCTGGATCCAGTCTTTCCTCACAGATAGAAAATTGAAATCGAAGGTCAATGGTCATACGTCAACTCAATATTCCGTCAATATAGGTGCGGCACAAGGCTCAGTACTTGCACCACTGCTCTTCATTGTATACATAAATGACTTGAAATTGTCTGGCTTCATGATTAATTATGCGGATGACACATCTATCGTCGTCAGTGCCACGACACCGCAGGATCTTCTCGAATCTATTGAGAAAGTCAAAAGTGAAATGAGCAAGTGGTGCCAGTCTAACCGCCTCATTTTGAATGAAGATAAGACTGTTGAAATTCATTTCTTCAACAAGAAACCACGCATGGATATTGATAGCTTTTCAGATCAAACTGTCTTCTTAGGAACTCATGTTGATAGTAAGTTAAGCTGGCAACCACAAATAAATCATATTTGCAACAAAATTAACAGTGCTTATTTTGCAATATTGAAATTAAAGCCTAACATCCATCTAAACTCACTCTTAGATATGTACTACGCGCTAGTTTATTCTCGCCTCACTAACAATATAATCATATGGGGACAGGCAACAATGATGAACAGATTATTCATCCTGCAGAAAAGAGTACTTCGATTGATTTTTAATATTAATAAGAGGGACTCTTGTAAAGAAATATTTAGACGTTATAATCTGCTTAGATTAACTTCCATCTATATCTACAAATGTGCCATCTTCGCATTTGAACATAGCAATAGATTTGTTCGTAACAACGCCATTAATAGTCAATACAACACTAGAATAGGGCATGATCTGAGCATACCGACACATAACTCTGCCCTATTCCAAAAATCTCCCACTCTAGCGTGCACTAAGGTATACAATAATCTGCCGAGTGAGTTGCGGAGAAGCACTAATATCCTTGCGCTGAAAAAACATCTCACGAAATATCTGGTTGAAAAATGCTATTACTCTCTACATGAGTTTTACTAACACATGAAAGTATCTGTTTTTTATTTCTTCTTTTAAGCTGTTAATCATTTCGTTATCAGTGAATTGTCTATTATCGTGGAGTAAATGTATTTTAATTTCACTTTTTATTCGAGTTTTAACGAAAGTATGTATGTTTTCTTTTTAAGCTTTTAACCATTTGTCCTCACTGCACGATGTTTATTGTCTTTATATATTATGTATTTCTAACAGATTCTCCTACCGCTTTTCTTTTCTCTGTATCAGCTTCAATGATTTTTACCGGCTAGACGAACATTTTTTGTGATAAAAAAAGTCGCTGTATATGTATATATTTTTATCGTTACAGATTGAACACATTACGGTTCTTGCACTGTACCTGTTCCTATAATGTGATTTAACCTTTTAAAATGTTTTGTAATTGTAATGTCCTTATTTATTTTATAATTATAAGTATTTTTCTGACATATTTGATCAAAGGCATATATGACCCTCAAATTGATATTGACAAGTCTTATATCATGTAACATGATCTAATGGGACAATAAACTATCTATCTATCTATCTATCTATCTTCTGATAGGTGCCATTATTGACTTTCTGCCTTTCTTGTCGACATTGTGAGAATTCTTTCTAGTTTTCTAGTGTGGCATGCAGCTTTATCAAGTACAATGACGGCATTCATCAAATGAACTCGCGTCCATTTTTTCATGGTAGTGGGTTGTTTCCTTTGACTCAAATGCCGAAAGGGCAGAGGGCACAAATCCATCTTCACTGCCAATGTGACAGATAAAACATCGTTTTTCTTTTCCTGGAAATAATTATTCCATGTATAGTATTCAAGAAAACTAATAATAATATAAGCCGATTATCTAACAGGTGTTGGTGCTAAGTCTACCAGTTCAGTGTAGCTGAGTTTTCAGCGTGGGCTCATAGATTTAATCTACATCACACCATTTTTACAACACAAATGACGAATAGGATAAATTCAGATATCTGACGGATTCTTTAGGTCAATTTTTAGTCCATCTAAGAAGGTTTGTCTTGCTGATTTAATTGTAGAGTTAGCCCATACAGGTTTTGTATGTCCTGCATTTATCCACGTTTCATCCAGGTAATAAATTTTCCTGCGCTGGTCGCGGTATTTCTTTATTGATTTTAAATAACTTCTTCTCTTGGCTGTTCATCAAAATACTATTTCTGCCCTGTTCTCTATACTCAAAATGAATTTCTTTGAGTAAACTATAGAATGTAGTCCTTTTGAAAATAGGTAAGTCTTCATCACTATTAACCTCCTGTAATACTTTGTCTATGTTGGGTTCCTGCCTTGTAAAAAGTTGATGGACTTTGCGTGTGATGGCGTTCCGATCAGAGTTATCAACTGTATTCAACAGCTTCGTGCAATGCATCTTATTTTGTGGGGAGACAATTTTGTGTACTTTTATACCCTTTAACAATGTCGATAATTGTCTTAGGATATATACTAAGTGACATATAAATCCGAACACCCAGTTTAAATGGTTTTATTTTAATAAAAGTTGGTGAATGTATTTATCTTACTGTAAATAACAAGTGAAAAAATTTTCAGCCTTATCAGTTGGACATTCCGGTTTTTATACTGCTTTTTTTAATTCACTAACGCTCTAAAAATGAATATTTCAGCCGCAGTAAAGAATCAACGTTGGCGGATTTTGGTTCTTGACATCCTTTACGATCGGTTACGATGCCTAGAGTACGGAGACCTGTACGATTTCGTCAACTTAGTGAGTTTGATAGGGGCCGTATAGTGGGACTTCGGGAAGCTGGACTTTCTTTTCGGGCAATTGCAGTTAGAGTGCAAAGAAGTGTAGACACTGTGGTTAAGTGTTGTCAGGCATGGCTTCGAGAAGGCCGTACGCAAAGAGCAAGGGGCACTGGACGCCGCCGTAGAACAACAGACCGTGAAGATCGCCGCCTAAGATTATTGGCCTTAAGGGACCGTTTCTCCATTACCAGGTCCATTGCAAATGAATGGTTTGCAGAACACGGAAGACCTATTGGCATGCGAAGTGTTTATCGATGAATGAGAAGTTTTAGCTTGTTTTCATACCGGCCACACTGGGTCCTCCCTTTATCTCGGGAACACCGACGTAATCGCCTTGAGTGATGCAGACAACGGTCACTCTGGGATCAGGAATGGAACAGTATTGTCTTTAGTGGCGAGTCTCGATTTTGTTTAGGCATGCACGATGGTCGTGCCAGGGTTAGAAGGCGACGTGGTGAAAGGAGGAATCCACAGTTTTTTGTTGAAAGACATGTTCATTACACTGTTGGAGTTATGGTTTGGGGTGCTATAGCTTATGGTTCCAGGTCACCTTTAATCTTCATCAGAGGTAACATGAACGCGCAGCGTTATATCCACGAAGTTCTAGAACCCCATCTTTTACCCTATCTTGACACCCTGGCAGATCCAACTTTCCAACAAGATAATGCCCGACCACATGTTGCAAGAGTCACAATAGACTTCTTTCAACATAATGATGTCACATTGTTACCATGGCCACCAAGATCTCCCGACTTATCCCCAATTGAGCACGTGTGGGATATGATGGGTAGGAGATTGCTCAATTTGAAACGTCCTCCTCAGACTCTAGAAGCACTTCGAGAGGAGTTGGTGTTTGCCTGGAATGAGATACCACAGGAGGACATTGACCACCTGATCAGAAGCATGCCTAGGCGCGTTGGAGAATGCGTAGCACATCAGGGTGCATCCACACATTATTAAAGGTCAAAGAGCTTTAAAGCAGTGCAATCATTTTGAAATTTTTATCATTTACTTATTATGCTTCATTAAGTACTTATACAAAATTTTATTAAAATAATACTATTTAAACTGGGTGTTCGGATTTATATGTCACTTAGTATAGTTAAGCCTGTTTTGTTTGCCACACGTCTTTCAATATCATGCATTTTCATTTCAGAATGCTCTAAAATTCCGCTCTTATAAACGTTAAGGACAATCTATTTTGCCTGAATATTCAAATGTCCCTTCTTGTCACGTTGTTGGGGAGCAGACGTCGCTAAAGAGGAAGCATGGCTGAAGGAAGCATTGGGAGAAATATGCTCAGTTTGTAATATATTCTTATTACATTCTATTGATGCGCCGTATATTATTTGCGCACGACTTTAGAACATGATATTGCTATTAGATGATATCCATAGAACATGCATAGCAAGTGATTTTGTTACTGAACAGTCGCCGTTGCCGTTATACACCTAGTTCCCGAAGTCGTGGTCACGTCACGCTTTATATATATATAACATATACAGGGTGACTTTGAAGTTGAGTCATTAATTTTCAGATAATGATTGTAGAAGGAAGATAAACCAAAATATGTGTGTAAAAATAAAAAAATAAATAAAAAAAAATGTTACCTTGTTTAATAAAGTATCGTCCCGACAAGTATTTCAGTGCGGACCTGTATTTGATCGTGCGGTCTTGGAGCAGCATGCCCTGACCTGTGAGGTCTTAAGTCACCTGATTCACGAGCCCTTTGTACTACATTACACGAGGCACGAGGGGTTGGTTACACTCGATTGGGAAACCGATTCGCATAAATCCGTGATGCATCCGGGAGCATTTTGTAAAGACTGCCCCCCCGTAAATAAGAATCATGTGCACAAGTTCAGCATTTTCGTAAACATGTGCCATTTTTGATTTCGTTTGAGCCACGCAACAAACACTACTATTCACTAACGCGTTATCGACTGACGAAAAACATCGTGATAAAATACTGTTAAAATAAATGACTCAACTTCGAAGTCACCCTGTATATATACACGGTGGCGCATCGAAAACGAAACAGACGTATTTACTGGCAGCTCAGTTTTTTTTTTGAAAAACGCTCAGACCCGTCGATTTTGTTTTCGAGGCGGACACAAGTTTGGCAAAAAACCACGTTAACACGGGCAGCCCCTGGGCAGGGGTGACACCAACCCTAAAATCTTAAATAGAAAGGGGGGTCGAGTGATACCGTATTTTAAGGTCTTTCAAATCCCTTTATAATGATGTAAAATACATGAGCTTCAGTTCAATAGTTTTGAAGATTCATTGATTTAAAGCTTAAAGTAGACTTTAATAGGTACATCAGATTAGTTTGTACTACTTTCAGAATAAATTTCCATTTAAGATTTTGGGAGTGGTGTCACCCCTGCTTAGGGGGCTGCACGTGCTAACGTGATTTCTTACCAACCTCGCGTCCCCTCGAAAACAAAATTGACGGGTCTGAGCGTTTTAAAAAAAAACTCAGCTGCCAGTCTGTTTCGTTTTCGATGCGCCACCCTGTATATATGTCCGCAAAGTTGGGGTTTTCCTTTTCAGAAACAACTACCCTTGAAATAACAAAGGTAATGTGTAGTGAAACGCGGGCGACCAAGTAAAAAAAAAATACAGGAAAAAGTACTCACTCTCCAGTTGGCGAGAAGGGCTAAGTACGTCTCTGCCCGAAATCATACCGCTCCAACAGAAAATGAAATCAGCTGATGCGTTACCGAGCAGACGCAGGCAAAGAAGGAAGGCAAAATGTTGCGTAATGACCAAACATGAGTGTTGCGAAAGATATTCACCCCATTACGCGTGAACGTAGATTCGTCTGTCACCAATATGCACATCAAAAAGTCCGGATTATTGTCATGTTGATGCAACAACCACTCACAAAACCGCACTGTTGCTGGAAAATCGTCAGGTTGAAGGGCTTGTACACGTTGGACGTGAAACGGATACAGACCCTCTTCACGCAGCGTTTGCCACCCTTTAGTGTTTGATACTTGCACTTCTCTAGCCACGTCTCTAGTGCTTGTTGTTTTTTGAAACGCAATCGATTATATGGGTTCGTTTACCTCTACACGCGTGACCGTAACCGTCGGTTGAAGGTTGCATACTGACCTGACACACTGACCCCGACCCAGTTCTGCCGTCGGGTTGAGACCTTGTACCAATCGGTGATGTCCCGGGTCGCGGCTACAGGACGGTATTCAGATATTTTTGATATTGCAGAGCCCTTTATCTCGGTTCCCTTAAGACATTGGTGTATATGGTATTAAGAAAAATTGCTTATGTTTTCAAGATCTACACGTCGTGTAAAGGAAAACCCCAACTTTGCGGACACCCTGTATATATATAATATATGCCTACGTAACATAAACTGACCACCTCGGACTACACCATGACCTAAGGTTACTACTTACCTTCCCTTATAGATCTGTACATACTCCCATAGCAAACGCATATAAGTCCAAAGGCGATAGCGTTGAAAGCCAGAAGTGTGGACAGATAGACAGCATCTGCCTGGTCGTTGTTCTCCAGGGGCAGACATATACTCGTTTTAGAGTACCCGCTGACTCCTAGCAGGGGCAGAGATGCCATCGTCAGTGCACAAGCCCAACCTGCTCCCATTACTCGAACGGCAGTACGAAGTTTCAAACGCTAGAAAAATCGGTTTATCTTTAAAATTTCACATATGTGTTCTAACCCTTTCGGCACGGGTATTATGTAAAAAACGTATAATAAAGTTTGTCAAAAAAAGTATAAAATGTCATCTTGCAGTCTAGATAGTTTTTAGGGGGCAAATAGTCATTCCACGTTTGCTCAATAGGATCGTTGTGAGCGTCCATCTATGGAGGAATGACTCACCTACATTCATTGTTGGTTGCATATGTGAAGCCGAGTAGTCTATAGTTTTCATCTGTGAGAAGAAAGTTGGTTGAATATCAAAGTCGCCTTTGGATGATCACGTGTATTGGTCTGCATGTGTGTAAAATCAGTGATATTTGCTATGTGAGAATATTATTAGTGAATATACTGCAAATGACTATCTATTAGCTGTGCCCGACGGATTATTTATATGTTGTCCTTTCTAAAGACAGATTATGTTCAAAGTTATAATCACGATTTTTTACGTTTTTTTTTAATTTCCAAAATTTTTTAGGAGAATTACGGGAAATCACCACCTCGCCCACATTGAGTGTTCAGTGAATATAATTATTTTTTACCTCACTCATTTTTAAAACTCAGCAAATTTGCATATGTAACTTCTAGAATGGATATGTATATTGTTAGCACACAATTTCTCACTTTACGCGTTGCCGTTTACTGCTAGTTACAGAATACAACTTATGGCTTACACCTCCAGTAATGCCATCTCTAAAGCAGATTTCACATCACATCAGAGCCAAACATGGATAACTGAAGCATCGTGACGCTTAGGCAACACGTACAACTACAAAACGAGTACACAACGTGTACACCAGTTAGTGCTGAGTTAACATCTTGTTGAAAAACCTACATATGTTAATGTCACAAAAAACAGTACAATGTCAAAAAAATCGAAATAATGTCACTTTTTAAGATAAGTGATACCCGTGCCGGACTGGTTTATGTTTTAATGTTGAATTAATACTTGTGAATATACGATGATCCTTTAAATGTCATACATTATGTGTTCGTCGGGATTCTAGATCCATTCATCATATGTATTATAAACGGCGACGATGACTTGATGAAGAAACTCAACCTGTAACATGATTCCCTATTTTCCGAATGCCACAAGTCAGATACGCGATTACATGGAAAATCGATATAAAAATAATGATAATAATCTGTATTGACCAAAACATGGGGCGAGATTTAGTCCTGATATTTCACCATCTAACAACGTACAACATTAAGTTGAAAAAAAGAAGATATACAAGAACAAAAAGAAAGTGCAGATAGATAGATCATGCCATGATCCAATGCAATGAGTAACGCCCACTTAGTTATAAAAAGTAGAGATAATGGCGTTTCTCTGGATTCTTTTAGGTGTAGATTAACACACTGGATTCCATAAAAAGAAATGCACTAATTTATTTATCTTGACTAGATTGATAATTTATGTACACCACTATTTATGTCTGACTAATCCTTATGTCGCGGCCCTGACTGAACTACAGTATATTCAGATAAGAGATAGACCGGATGTAAACAAAAGGTTCGGGTGATTTTCACGCTAACGCCGCCATCTCGACATAAAACAGGAGCCCTCATTGGTCAATTCGCAATTAAATGCCTATGCCGAGCGGCAGAGCAGTCGTATCAAGGCAGAGTCACATTCAGGTTCAGACGTGTTACGTATGTCGTGTGCATCATTGCAATTTGATATTTCTTTGGACGTTTTCGTTCAATATTCTTTCTTTCAATATGACTAAATAATCCCAATTATAGCAATCTGATACTCATGTCTCAATGTTTTTTCGCTGAATGTGATGAAAACATTTGAAAAAGGTTCGCTTATTGAAATATGTAAATCTACACCAGTTAGTACTTCGATTTCCAGGTAAAGGGCAAAGGCTCATTATCTGCCATATTGGCAGTGAGGATGGATTTGTTGTTGACGGTCTGTGGTGCTTTGAGTCTAAGAAAACTGGAGATTACCACGAGGAAATGAATGGCGAATCGTTTGAACAGTGGTTTTCAAAAATTTTACCGAACTTAGAGGAAAACGCAGTAATTGTGTTGGATAATGCGCCTTATCATTCTCGAAGAATGGAGAAGGTCCCAACAACGGCTTCAATGAAAGTTGATGTTCATAATTGGCTCCGCTCGAAAAATATCAACTTTGAAGAAGCAATGCTGAAAGTACAATTATTAAGAATTGTCAAGGATCACAAGGCGGAATATCAAAAATACGCCATTGACGAAATGGCAGCAAGTCAAAATAAAACTGTGCTCCGTTTACCTCCATACCATTGCGAGCTCAATCCCATTGAGCTCATATGGGCAGAGGTTAAAAATTATATAGCTAAGCACAATACAACTTTTAAATTTTGTGACCTCAAAGGACTTTTCAAAGAAGCACTAGAATTAATAACAGCGCAAAAATGGGAAAACTGTATTAAGCACGTGAAAGACAAAGTTGAAAAGAGAATGTGGGAACTGGACAATATTTTAGAGGAACAAGTCGAGCCATTCATTATTGACGTTGGTGCTTCAGGCAGTAGCGATGATGAAAGCTCATCAAGCTCATCTTTCCAATAAAAGATGTCGTTCATCAAATTCGGTAAGTTATAAGTAATTATAAAGCTACTGTATTTTTTAATTAATTATTGACATTTTTGAACCCATTTTGGCAAAACCTATTCAAGAATCTACTTTCTGACAATGTTTAACAATGCACATTTTTTTACGTTTTGAACGTTTTAATTTGGTTACATATTTACCTAGAAATCAAAAAATATACTAATCAATATTCTAAAAGCAATTTTAAGAGATATACGATTATTTTTAATTTAGGCTAATTTAAACGCCATTTTGAGATTATATTCGACTGTATTTCACCAAACATCAGGCGGCATCCGAAGCTGGAAATCGAAGCGAAAATTTTGAAACCCTTATGTATATTTACATCATTATATATTTCTTACCCCACCCCCACATGATCCTATATCCATCACTAATCGTATACACATCGAATTGTGCTAATTTACTACAAAGTTACGCAAAGCAGCATCTACTATCTAAAATATGTACTGCGTGACTCTTAATACGTCCCTGCCGAATGTTACAGCGTTCGATGATCACGTGGTCTTGTTTATGCCCGGTCTATCTCTTATCTGAATATACTGTATACTCCACTCTGCTCTACTCTCCTCTACTCTGCTTCCCTCTCCCGGCCGCCGAGTTATATAGTCCGCATCGTGGGTCGAGAAGATTCCGGTCAGCCACATAGCCGCATTCCAGAATCGTCCAGGTCACTTCGCGTCGATCTAGAAGTCGAGTCACTGGCACGGTCCTCAACAGATGTCGCCAAGCGGCATGTGCGGTCGTGATCCGCGTAAAAACGTAAAGAGATCGGCCATGAAGCTCTGGCGAGAAGGAGAGTTTCCCAACAGATGGCGCCAACAGAACTATTCATTATTGTTACAATAGGTTATAAAGCGAAGGAAAAATAACTGATCAAAAATACAAAGTATGAAAAAGAAAGAACTTCTTAAGCTGGCGGTTGTTCAGCAATTCTTGTAAACATACTATATTTTTATCTGTATTTTGAAAGTCCGGGAAGACTAGATCGACTTTAGATCCTGGTCTGAGCTGTTGTAACATAAGATTATGCATAGATGCCCTTGGAATAAGTGTACAACTGAGGCATGGACTCAATCGCAGATAGCAGTGTATCCCTCATCCCACCCAAGAACCATGGCTAGCAGACTGACAGTGAGATCTGGCCAAAGCCTGAGCAGGGGCTCCTGATATTTGGCCCGTTTTCCGAAAATTCAATAACGAATATCGCCTTCTGTTCGCGGTAGATAAGGACTATGTTGGGCTTAGTCGCCTGCACCAGCTCGACCGTGGGGAATGAGTAATTCCAGCATTCAGACTCAATATCCCGGCACTTTTTCAAATTTTACCTTTAATTCGCTACAAATAATTACCTTGTGTTTTTCCTAGAGTGCATTGTTTTCGTGAAAATACAAAAAAAAAATATATTATATTTTATTTCAATAAATGTTCAAAAAGACCACCATTCTGGCTTAAATTTGATGAAACGCATTATCTATTCAGCATACACCAGTTGTTTAAAAGCACTCCACAAAAACAAATCCAAGGGATTCAAATCAGGAGGCCTCGTAAGCCAAAGTAACGGGTCCGTTTCTGCCAATCCATCGTTGTCTATTTAACCATGCGGTTATGTCACGACGAACATGCGGTGGGGCACCTCCTGATACCACATTCGTACTCTCGTTGCTAACGAAATATCATCTAACACATTTCCTATGTTATAAAAGCTAAGTTTGAGTTTGCATTTGAACTTTGTGGCAAAACGTGCATAAATAGTTGGGCATTGAAAATGCTGCACCAGGTATTTCTAGAAAATCTGAGTTGATACAATTGGATCCTTACAGAACGGGGATTTTCTAACGGCCAAATATGTTCATCATGAGAATTAAAGGTTCCACTCCTCGTAAAAAGCGATTTATCTGACCAGAAATCCAAATCAATAAAATCTGCATTTTGATTATGCATTTGCAGTAACCACTCACAAAAATTTCGCCGTTGCACTCGGTTGCCGGATTGCAGACATTGCACATTTTGCCGATGATAAGGATGTAAAACTTCCCGATTTAAAATTCTTCACGCAAGGCTTTGGGAACATGATGATTGGGCTGCAATCGGCCTAGTACTTGAACTAGGATCATCCAACGCCAAATTAATCACTTCCAGTTCCTCTTGAACAGTATGCCAGACACAATCGGCTCTAGCGCTGGGAAGTTTTTCAATTCTATATTGCCGAAGACTTAGAAATGAACGCGTAAAAACCTTTGGGGTAGGTTGGAGTATGTTTGGAAATCTACGTTGATACACCCTGGTATAACAAAAATATTGAGGCAGCTTAAAATTTGAGAGACAAACAATACAAACAAGGTATATTCACAGAATCAAATGATGAT